TAAATTAAATGCTGCGCTCGTTTTGCACAATATTTCGTGGTCACTGTATGGTATTCGCGAATGTTAACGTCCAGCTGAAAAGCTACGACTACGTCGAGAATTTTGTTGCAATTGAATCACTATCTAGTGATATTGATTTTACATTTTGGGTCATACTTTGTGGAGAAATTGGGAGATAGGGCGCTAAAAAGAAATGGAGACAGGGACCGGCTTGCTTTCTTCTACAAAAAGAGGCACACGTTGCATTCACCGCTTGGTGTACTAAAGAAAATCGGAGAATTCTGACGTTGGGTGTATCGCGAGCCTATATTGATACACAGACAACTTGTGTTTGACAGCCATGGTCCCTCACTACAATCAAACATCCTTAGTGATATGCGAGGTTGTGATGGTTTAACAAAGCAAAGAGTTGCTTTCTTCAATGAACTGGGCAAAATGTGAAAGTAATTCAACATATGGACAGCGAGCAGATAATTCTCTCTACTTTTAAATTCCGGTATAGAAATTCGAATTGGCGCACACAGCGCGGCACAGTATATATACATAAATACATACATACACACACACATATATATAATATAAATAAATTCATAAATTCATAAATATATATATACACATATATATGTATAAATATATATATATATAACTATATATGTAAATAATAAAATAAATATAAATATATATACATTAGTATTATGTCTTTGTATTATGGCCCTCTGGAATAAAGTCTCGGGCGGAAATCAAGGTTCTCCCTGCGACAATCGTAAACTTAGCAGATACTCTATCCGGAGGGCCATATTTATATTATAGTAAATACAAATCTTAAAATCTCTAGAGTTCATGCTTGAACTGGTGCCCGGTGATCGTAATAAACATTCTTCAAATTACGAGTGTACCAAAAAGAGACTTTCGGAGTTTTATGGGTTGACACTAATAATTTCGCTGTGTCAAATATTGTATATAAATGGGTGTCCAAATCGTTTCACCTAGTCATCTGGATCACGGAGATGAGAATCCGGAGTTGGGGTATGGCCTCAGGGACTCGATATTCCTGCATTCAATAAACATCTTATGTTATGACTTTGCACGCAGAAGGCAAGTGCTTACACTGTACGCGTTCTCTGTTGACATCTCGAAGCTTCTATCGGTTGCCCTCGAGGGCGTATAGCACAAACACAAACTAGACATCAGCCTTTGATCGACTGAAGATTAAAATCACCTGCAGAGAATATATGGCAATAGCGATTATCTCAGTTACTATTTATAACATAATTATTCTGTCCAATACCCTTCAAATATTTAACGTTACAGAAAGATTTATTTCGATGTATGCGTATTTGGAGTCTTGCAACGGGACTCCTTGAACAGTTGGCTAAAAGGCCTCGGAAAGTGGCGCGCGTGGCGAAAGGGTGTAGAGATAACGCAGTCCGCGAGTCCTCAAGCAATCCACTAATATCATCATCTTAACCCATACACCTGAATTTATCTCCATGTAGGAGGACATCGTACTTCAGAGTGAACGTTTGACAATACCCTTATTCATATCTAAACTACGATTTGCTGGTCTATCTTCCGGACCACATGTTCGGGCAGTTGCATTCGTATACACTTGCACTGGCAGGAAATCATAGATTTTGCTTTATCTCGTTGTGTAAGAAGTCTCTTACCCCTCAATCGCTCTCTGATCCGTCGGTCTCTGACGCTGGCGCTTGTAGGCTAGCTCTGTATTGCGCCATGGCTTGGTCATATCTGGCCTTGTCTTTACTTGCAAGCTCCACGTATTTCTGCAGAAGTGGTAAATATATACGTATATATCAGTCTACTACTCTGTAAGCGACTATAAAAACCTGACACCACGCACATAAAAGTCTACATAGTTCAAATTTGCCGGACCAAAAAAAAATGGTCTACCTGTCGTTGGTGTTCGTCCGTCAGCTTCCACATCTGACCGAGCTTGACGGCCTTTTCCGTGATCTTAAGGTCAGTAGGTAGGGTGGGTCTCATGTCGTTGGAGAAAAATAGGTACGCCGATAACGCGCGCTTAGGCATGTTGGGATCCTTCTTAGCCTGCCGAATAGAAGACAATTGCATACAAAATTGAGACCCTGCTTGATTGTGTTATCAAGGACAACACTATGGCTATGCTCGAGAGGTCAGGTCCGGTGACTGAAACCAAAAACTTGTATTCAGTCGCCCTCAGACAACTAAAATTCTGAACGGAAGCATCTACACACCTTTTTGCTTGTTCCTCGCTTAACCTTGGGCGCGTCGTCTTTTGCCGCTTGTTCTGCTGTGCGGTTCTGGACATAATACTTCATATCATCCTCGAATTGTGCATTTAGCCCGGGAATACGTTCAGCATACGCCTGTTGACATAAAGCAAGATGCAAGACGAAAGTTAGACCGAACACAAAAAAAGTACTTTCACGCCCGACAACCACACAGCCCAACTTCTAGCAATAAAAATCGAAAGTATATATGTCTATTGGTGAGCATGACAAACTTCACAAAAGAAAAAGAAAAAACAGTACTCGTATAGACCATACCCTCTTCTGCTCGTCAGAGAGCATCTTCCACTCGGCACCAAGGCCCTTGAACACATCCGTATTCTTAACATCGGGATTCTCTAGGATATAATTCGGTCTGCGCTCTACCACAAAGAGGGTGTAAGCAGTTCCAGGCTTTTTAGGCTTGGAAATCTCCTGTGCGGTCAAAGGCCTCATACTGGAGTGGAACGGAGTGAGTCTAAAGGAGAGGGCTGATAGTGCAACAACCTGGGGTTGTATTGTTGACGACCGTGAAAGCGTGGAGCGGGGCACAACGGCAGCAGGTGTCAGTCTGTTTGCTAATGTTCGCACAAAAGACATTTTCCGATTCAAAGGCAATAGTACGACTGGGGGGCGGTGTTGTGGCCGGCTTAGGTTTATATTACTTTAACGCTCTTGTTCGTATCTCGCCGAATGTCTACTATTTCCCTTGTAGATTTTCGGTCGAAACATCGTTTCAAACTAGTCCAGCAGCAGATCGGCAGTTGGGAAAATTCTATAAATAGCGTGGTAGGTTTTTGAGGCCGGCTTTTTGTATTCCTTGTCTGAAGTGATAACGACACAGCCACACAACATTGATAAAATTGGCGGGGTTTTTAATTATGTACTCTTTGTTTTTAAAAATATATATATAGATACATTAACGGATTATAGCACAAGCAGTTATTTTTAAAATTAGAAAAGTATTTCAAACGAATAGGCTGCTCGGACTGAACGGTTTATCGTCCGAAGCCGAAGGACATTATTAATTTATTATTCTATCAACCGATCGATCCGCGAGTCCGCGACACTAAAAATGACTAAATAAAATAAACAAAATAACGTTTTGGTATTTAATTGTGACTGGTGAGTATACATTGAAGGTAAACGAATTCTATGACATGACCCATTTTTCAATAGGACTAAATATTTGATGAAATAGCACTTTCTCAAAGCCCAAAAATGCACCCATATGAAACATACAGGACCCAACCGGAGTAAATATATAAACGTAAATGTTTCACTGATTGTTGTACGAATGTGCGATCATCATCGGGGAATGGGCGAGACATCGACATTCGACCGGCGATGTAGTTTAGCAACTGATACCAGCCGGCGTATAGAACCTCTACTCCTACTAGAGCTAGAGAGAGAGAGTGGTGTGCCGAGTGCCGACCAAGAAGTGAAGTAAATACTAAATAGTGAACCTCAAGTAACCAGGCAAATGGCAACCACTCCTCGTGTCCTCTGGCTCGACAGTCTCAACTCTCATTCCTGAGACCTGAGACTGAGAGGCTGAGACCACGGACGGAGTCATGACTATTGAGTATGGAAAAAAGAGCATGTATAGACAATGGACTATGAGTAGTATGGAGCCAGCCGACAGGTCCCAGACTCCCAGGTCCCAGAACACACGGCCTCAGGCCCAGGGAGGCACATCGTTTGCACACACAGCAAGAAGAGAGAGAAGAGTGAACGGACTAGGGAGAGGTCATGTTTTGATGAATAATGATATCAATTACAATAACGAATATTTATTTACTTCTCTCTCTCGCGCGCTCTCTCTCTAGACTAGTAGTAGAGAGAGAGGGAGTACAGGAGTGACTTCGTTGATTAGCGTTGGTTTGAAGTAGATAGGTTCTGCTGTACCTATAAATTGGTATGTTGATAACGCGGCCTTGCAGTAGAAGGTGATCCGCGGATTTGGGCAGTTCAAGGAGGAAACTGTTAGCCAATTATTTTGGCTAGCATTTTCATGTTTGAGTAAAGACCCACAAAGGATAGCTACTGTTTCGTTCCATAATAAAGATGCCAAATACATCAGAAATGAAGTTTGGACGGGGTAGAGTTTAGTAAATGTATCGACAGTCCTTGTTCGACAATAGCAAGCATTTTTTTTTGTTGAAATCAAGAACTCGACTGTTTACTGTTCTCACTAATCAATATAAAGTGTATATTGTTCAACAAACGATTTATACCGACTTTGTCTTGTGGATGTTCAAATAAGATACGCTTATAATCGATGCCGTTAATTCCATGGTGTCCACCCCTCCAGATAACTATTAAACTCCACAACTAAAAAAAACCAAAGTACGAATACGAGAACAGTATGCCAAACGATCGGCGATAGATGGAAATTTTGTATCTGTCTGATCACGCCACATAGTAGAGCGTGATTGTCTACAAATGTTTCGCTTTGCATTTTAAATAAATGTTGTGCGCGTGCTCACCGGTTATACATTCACAAACAAGTGTTCGAGTAACATACGGCGATATGTAGTCTTTTGAGCTCCAAATGAAACAGAAGAACAAGCAGTACACTAATATAGCGAGAGTGGCCACAGTACTATAATCAGCACAGTGACATATAGTAGCTTTGA